TGTCTTTGTACACTCGACACGCGGCTCATGGCTTCAGACGAACCGCCTTGATTTACCATGCAGACGGGTTGCAGATGAGCCGTCGCATCACAACTGTCACACCATTTTTCTGGAACTGACATCATCCGCACGCTGTTCTAACGAAAAGCTTGCACTTAGCTACTCTACAATGCAGCAAAGGGTTTTAGTATCTACCCTACGGTAATAGACGTCTGTTTGTGTACAAAAGCCAAGTGACTGCTAATTGGTTGTTAATCACCTAGTCGAAACAGCTACGGTAAGGACTTGTGCCTAGGACAGTGCTACCGTAGCGCTTAATCGTTGAAATCACTGAAATTCATCCATATTGATCCTCCTGTTGCTCCTTTTAGCATATAGAGCCACTTTTGCAAGCGACAGTTTCATGATATTATAGAACGTACAGTGGCGGTTCATCCCGCGTCATTTCACTGGCTAGATCGTCATCGAGGTGATCAAAGGGTTATTGCCTTTGTAAGTAGGATGACGCAGTCTGCACTTAGTGCATTAGATGTTCAAATATTATTGATTCGTGACTTGCTTACATGCCCCCAGGGTGCTATGAGAAAATGTGGTGCAGCACAGCAAGAAATCCGGCGATGGCTGTAAGAAACTGTGTCCATTGTCACTGACAAAATTTATCGACTGGTTGATCACCTAAGCGTAGACGAGCATAGGCAATCCGAATGGTCGCTTTGAGAACGAATACTCTCACCGATAGAGACAACAAATACTCACTGACCGTTGCTTGGCAACAAAGTCGCCTGCTCGGTTGTACTGGTGTCGAAAAGCGCCGAGAAGCGAGAAGTCAGTGCTTGCGGAGAATGGCCGAACGACTGAGGCAGCTGGTGAAATCTCTGAACAAACCACCGTTCAGCAAAACCCTCAGCTTAGCGCTGCTCGACTCTCTTGCACCTGAGGATTACGTTCAGCTGTTGAACGATACGCTGTGTACCCTCCGCCAAGGGGTAAGTAAGACCGTCGATTTGCGAAATGCCCTCAATCACTCGAACGTCTAGCATCGAGAAGACATCCGTCGACAGCCAGCTGATACGAGGGCGCTGAAACTCCTGCAGGACCTCAAGATTGTGCGATACAGTCCCCAGAATGACGGCGACGCCTCGCAGTAAGCATGTCTGCTCTCGTTTACTCTGATATCTTGACTACTTTGTGGAGGGATGTCCAGAAATGCTGATCCGGCACCTTCAAGAAAGGGCCGGCTTCTGGAACTGGGTGCGTGGGTCTTGAATACTGGCTCAATCACGTGGAAGGTTATCTTAGCTTTAGAGATAAATGATCGAAGCCCAACTTAACTGTCAGTCCACGTTTAAACGTATGTGTTATAAGC